AAAAATTTATTTTCTTAAATATTTCTTATCGATGTGGGATATATTTATAGTGTAAAACTTTATTCTCTTATATGTTTTTTATCGATATGGGATGTATTGATTAGAAAAAATTGATAGTTTTTAGTGATGAAATATATTTTTTAGTGATAAATTATTTGGTCATCATTGAATGTGTGAGGTATATGTGACCAATATTAAAATTTTATCATAATTGTAATGTATTATAGTGATGATTTTTATCCAAAAAAACTTATTTTATCTTTATGAACATTTTTTTTTACGAAATATATTTTTTATGATGAATTTTTTTGTTTATCATTAAATATGTATGCATCTGTAACTATTTTTTTAGATCTGTCACAATTGTGATAAGTTATAGTGATGATTTCAAAATTCATCACAAATTTCTGTCACCAAAAATCATTTTTCTTGTAGTGATAGTTCTTGCTAATGTGTCAATCCCAATTGATAAAATGACTTGTAACTAGAAATTAAGGAATTTTGGTTATTTGGATGGCAAGAAAATGAAAAGGAAATTTTTATTATGGGGATTAAAAAAGTCAATGCTTTAAAATTCTTATTAGCATTATGCTTCTAACAATATCATCTTTGTAATAATCAAGTTGACTTTCTTGCGGAGAAAGAAGAACATCAATCATGGTGGTCTTGTTTCTATCTTCAAGACGAGATGAATCAATCATGTTTCTTCTTTTCATTCTTCAATCAAATTCTACATATATTCATCCTTTTCGACCATTTTGTTTTGTTGCTGGTTCTCCCCCTCAAAACCTAGAACTAAAAATCCCCAAAACTTATGCCTCTTCCTCCCTAGATTTGAATTGAATATGGAGGGGATTTCAGCATTGGGGATATAATCCTGAACAAGCAAGAGATAAGCTAACCATGGTAGAAAATGTATTTTAATAGTAAAACTGACAGTATGTGATCGAGTGTGTAACTTTATAGTGTAAACTAATTATTTTTCATTGGTGTAACCTGTGCATTGTCAAGAATCAAGATAAAAAAACTTGGACTAACCAAGCTTCTTAATTTCAATCATAAAGACCACATATGCTTCAATTGTCAAGGTCTTCCACCTTGGCCTCGAGAAAGTCTCCTAATTTAGACAAGATTCTTGGCTCTATAAATACCCTCCTCTGTATGTCTAACTCCACAAACCAACACTGGTACTAAAATACTTTTATGTTATAGGAAGAGAGAAAGAATGGGGGTTTTGGCTCTAGTTTTGTTCGCCTTGGCTGATATTACTCTACTCATCAGCCGAAGCCTCTTCAATGAGATGCTCAAGCTTCGCAACGATGCTGCCTGCCCTGCCAAGGGGTTCTACACTTATGATGCTTTCATTGTTGCTGCCAACTCTTCTTGGCGCTTTTGGTACCACGGGTGACATTGACACTAAGAAAAGAGAGATCGCCACCTCCTTAGCTCAAAACTACAGGTTTAATTCCTATACCCATTTCACAAATCTATTCATATAAACCTTTTTTTTGTAAGTATGTAACTTTTATAGGAATACGAAGTTTTGAAATTAAAACCTTTACAAAATGTGAAGATTGTTAATTTGTAATTTAATGACTCTTTGTATAGGTGGGTGGGCTACCGCCTTGGATGGTCCATATGCATGGGGCTATTGCTTAGTTTGAGAGCAAGGTAAATCTGGAGATTATTGTGTTCCAAATCCACAATGGCCTTGTGTTCCCGGTAACAAGTATTATGGCCCAGGTCCCATCCAGATTCATAGTAAGTATTAACTAATTAATTATTTCCTTCGCGCCCCCAATATTTTTATTTTTTTACTAATTAATTTCTTTATTTTGGCAAACATTTTTATGATAAATATGAATATTAGCGACTTTAGCTTGATTCATCATATTGGTTCTTGTAAATTGTTCCATTTATAAGTACTAAATAATACTTCATTTACGAGAGTAACAAATTTAACTTATTAAAATTATTTGAATAGGTGATGTTGAAGGAATTCAAACTTGTATTTTTAATATATTTCAAATAATTTCTTAATTACTTGAAGCAAATCCAATAATGAGTTAATCTCTATATTCTGTTTTAGGCTGCCCCGACGAGGAAAAGATTTTGAAAAATTACGTAATAACTTCTCCTACTGGGGCAATTTTCCAATCATTGACTCTTGATTTTGACTTTGACAATGTAGCAATTACAACTACGGTCCAGCAGAAAGAGCCATAACCCACAACTTGCTTAATGACCCAGATGCTGTGGCAAGAGACGCTGACATTTCTTTCAAGACAGCTCTTTGGTTTTGGATGACTCCACAGTCTCCCAAACCTTCAAGTTACGATGTAATCACTAGAAAATGGAGGCCATCTGCGCAGACATGGCAACTGGTCAAGTGCCTGGGTACGAGGTCATTACCAACATAATCAACAGTGGCATTGAGTGTGGCAAAGGTTCAAACAAGCAGGTTGTTGACCAGATTGGGTACTATAAGAGATACTTTGATTTACTGAAAGTTGGTTATGGCAACAATCTTGACCGTTACAACCAATAGCCCTTTGCTTAGAGAAATCAGTTATGGTTAAGATAAGATGTTACCATGTGATGAAC